TCTGGTAGGCAGCCCTCCCTCCGCGGGCCCGGCGGCAGCCCGCCGCGGGCCCGCAGCCGAGCCTGCGCGGCCACCTCTGTGGAGTGCACCCCGCCGGGGTCGACCTCCTGGGGCACGGAGGCGTCGACGGGGCCAAAGGAGGAGGAGGAGGAGGAGGAGGAGGAGGAGGAGGAGGAGGAGGAGGAGGAGGAGGAGGGGGCGTCGTTCCCTGCTCCGCGCTCCTCCTTCCCTCCGCGGGCCCGGCGGCAGCCCGCCGCGGGCCCGCAGCCGAGCCTGCTTTGGCCACCTGAAGTTTCCAACGCGCTCTAAATTTAAGGTTTTGGCGTTTGCAATATTTAAGCTTAAATCTAATATCTTACACATAACTGTTGTTTAACATTTAAGGTCGTGAAATCTTCAATTTAACGCTAAATTTAAAGCTATATTTACGGTTGCGAGCGCAACTATTTTGCGACAGTGGAGGTCGTTCCATTCTGGCCGCAACATGCCATGCAGCGCGTGCGCAAGAAATGTGGGGTCGGTTGCAACGACGTATGAGTGATGGGAAGGACGGCTTTGCACTGTCCCTGCGTGCGCAGCCGCAGCGGAGTTCCGCGGTGCGGAGTGCATAGGTCATGATTGTTCCTGTCATTTCATCGTCGCCAGGCGTCCCACGACCCACCCACACGCCCGCGACCCACGCGCGACCCGCTCGCGACCCGCCCGCCGCCCACCCGCCACCCGCTCGCCACCCGCCCGCAACCCTACTACGACCCGCCCGCGACCCTCTGGCCACATCCCCGCGACCCGCGTACGATGCGATGCGCCGCGCGCGGCCGAACGGATTTGTTATTCCTCTCATAGATATTGGCGCATGGTTTTCGCGAGTATGAAAATGAAGTGAGTGGGAAGGGAACCGAACCCGAGGACAATGCACGCGAACCAGCGGAACTGCTTGGCAGTCGGCGGTGAAAACGATTTTCCGATCAGGGCCACCATGTCCGTCTCCCCCTGACGACGGGCATGATAGTCTTGCCCTACGCGCAACTCGAATCTAGAAGTCCTTTGCTCAACCCCGCCCTGGGCGAAAAGATAACCCCATGGCCCAGATCGCCCCTAACATGCCCTTCGAAACGATCCCGAGATGGTCCCATGACGACCCCATGACCCCACATGTGACCCCACGCCGACCGCAAGGTTTCAAGGCAACCCCAATGCCATTTCAAGATCACACACCACGACCCTAGCAAGACCCGGAGACTACCAGAGGACGACACACAGACGATCCCACGACGACCCCTAAATGGCCCGATGACCCCATAGATGGCCCCGAAGTCTTAAGATGACCGGAAATCGACCGCGAGAAGAGCCAGAAACAACGCCTTTTGGCGGCATTTGTGTGCACGCATGGTTTCCCCTAGAGCGCTCCTGTGGTGCAGTGGGCAGACAGGTGGCTCGAAAAACTTGCTAGGCAAGCTTCGTCCAGGAAGCGATCCTAGTTCTGCATGCCTGCTTTTGCTGCTTCCCTGTTCTCCCCCTTCGTCCTGGCTTTCCCTCCTTGCGGCGAGAAGGAGGAGGAGGAGGAGGAGGAGGAGGAGGAGGAGGAGGCAGAGGGTAGCGTCGTCGCTCCCGCCGTTGCCGTTCCCGTCTTCTCTTCCCCTGCCTTCGCCGCCGTTTCTGCCGCTACCGCCGCTGCCAGGGCTGTAATTAGGTGCATCGGCCGCTGTTGCCGCAGTTGCCGTTGCGTTTGCTCCTGCTCTTGCTCCTGCTTCTGCTCCTGTTGTTGCTTCTGCTGCTGGGTTTTCGCTCTTCCGTTTTGTCCCCCTGTCCCTCCCTCTCCTCTTGCGCTCCCCCTCCTTTCCCCCATCCAGCCTTCCCCCCTCCCCTCCTCCCCCTGCTGCTGCTGCGGGCCCGTTTCCCTCTGCCTTCCTCGCTCCCTCCGGTACTGAGGTCGGTCCGTTTCCCTTCCTTTTCCTCCCCCCCCTCTCCTCCCTCCCCTCCTCCCGGGGTGGCGCAGGGCAGAGGCCGCGCCGTCCCCGCCATCCCCGTCGTGGTACGCCTCCTCCAGACGAGCCTGGAGGCGGGGCCGCGGCCCGGCCAGGGACGGGCAGGGGGGGAGAAAAAATGCGGGGGAGAGGAAAGGGGAGGAGAGGGGGGGACGGGGGGAGAGGAGGGGAAGGGGCAAACGAGCGAGAGAAGAGGGGGGAGGAAAGCAACGATGGGGGAGGCGAAGCGAGGCGAAACGAGGGTGCGGAAAAGGAACAACGATATAAGAAACAGATGGAACTCGCAATTTTCGCGCGATCGTGTAAATGCACGCGGTAACATTCGAAACACTTGCAGAACATTGGACAAACCCACTTGCGGGTCTGTCCAACATCGGCATTGCAGGCCAAGGGATGATACGCACTAGGGTTAATTTGTATCCTTCGCCATCTGGCTTCACTCGTCCCCTCGTCCTCTGCCTCGCCTCCTCCTCCTCCTCCTCCTCCTCCTCCTCCTCCTCCCCTCCTCCTCAGATTTTTTTTGACCGGTTTAGCGGTGCAAATTTAAGTGCTTCGCCCTGGCAAGCCCCGCGGTGCAAATTTAAGTGCTTCGCCTTGCCGTTTTGAAGGCTGTTTCAATGGAGGTGCAGTTTTTCGGTGCCCAAAAAACCGAAACACTTGCACAACGTCCCACAACCATATTGCAAGGACAAGAGGGGAGACCAGACAGACACGGAAGGAGGCTCATAACCACCTGAAAAGAGAAGTCTGGTAACAGCGATTTTCTCGCATATCGTTCCGCACCGAGACGTTTTTTGCTGGCCCCAGGGCCCGAACAGCGATGAAAACAACATAGGATCGTTCAGACGCGCGGTTTGGCACGGACCGCATCCAACGAAAGCGATGAAGAAATGCTGCCGAGGAAAAAAACATAATTGCATGTCAGAAGGGGGGGGCGGGAGGGGGGAGCGGGAGGAGACCACGGGTGGGGGAAGATGGGGGTGGAGCATCATTGGCGGCAGCTGCAAAAGCAGAAGGGTCAGCAGCAGTAGGGGTGATGGGGGAGGGGAGGAGGAGGAGGAGGAGGAGGAGGAGGAGGAGGAGGAGGAGGAGGAGGAGGAGGAGGAGCAATGGTTTGATTATTTTGCCTGCGAAGATACAGATGTCTCGATTTGTTGCTCCAGTTTAATAAAGGGGGTCTCAATCGAGACGGGCAAAACTAGCAGCGGGTATCGTGCCCAAGCAACGGGCATTAATTAGAGCGCCAGGTATTTAGTAGCAGAACGTGAACTCGTCCATACAGCGCCGAGCTGTTTCTTGGCCTCCTACCTTAAACTTGAGCGTTTGGGAGATTTGGACCGCCACAGTACGAAGGCCGAATTCGCCGTAGCCGTACTTCTTCATGGTTTTCTTCACTGCCGAAATCTGTTTCGACGTCAGGTTGCCCGCTTTCTCCAATGTAGATTTTCTCCCCGATACCTTCGCGTCCCCGGTCGTCGTGATCTGCTTTGGGGACGCAGCTGCTCGGATGCTCGCACGACCGGGGGGCCCACAGCTGCTCGGATGCTTGCCTCGGTGCTCCCACGGGGGGAGAAGTAGCTGTGCGTGATGGGAGCAAAGCTCGCAGGGGGAGCCAGCGCCGCCACCGCCTCCGCCACCGCCTCCGCCACCGCCTCCGCCACCAGCAGCCGCCGGCAGCGCCAGTGGCAGTGGACACTTGGCTCTAGATGGCTGGTGCTGACGACCCGCAGCCAACGCCCGCGCCGCAGCCGGCGTCCCTGAGTTGCCCCAAGGGCCACTCTTTCCAGTGCGAGGTGGCGGGCAGATGCCAATTCATAAAGCGGGGGGGGGTCCGCGACGGGCCAATCAATCATTGGCCCGGCGCGCGCTACCATCGGGGGCAGCATGATACCTTCCCCCCCCCAAAGCCAGCGACCTGAAGCATGCAGTTAACGCGCTTAAGGGCCCGCGCCCTTGAGCGGGGGGGGGGATAGGGCCAAGTCCTCATGGGCCCCTATCCCTGATAATAGATAAACGTGAGCTTAGGAAATCCGCGCTGCAGCGGCGGCCGCTGCGTGCGCGGAACGGCGCGGCTCGCAGGAGGGGGCCTCAAGCAGCCAAATCCATGTGCATATGTACATACGTGTATTTATAATTGCATTGATTGTCCGATCGTTCCGACGGCGGTTGGTCGGGCGCCGATCGGCCGCGAATCTTGATGCACGGGGCCGGGAGGGAAAGGGGAAAGCCATGGGGACCGCCAAGGCAGAGAAGCGGAGCATTCGTGAATGGATCTGAGCAGCTTGGATTTCCTGGCCCCGCCGAGGATGCCATTCCGGAGCTGCCCGTCCTCTGAAGGGCCTCGTTAAAACCGCTGGCGCGTCCACAGACAAGCCAGCGCAAAAGGTGGAAGAGGAACTATGAGGAGGAGTAGGAGGGAAAGGAAAGGAGAGGTGAGGATGGATTGGGAGGATGGGAAAGGAGAGGTCGGGTTGGTCCCAGGACGCGTTCTGGGCCAGCTTCCTGGGGGGAGAGGGAAGGTGCACTTTAGGTGCACTTTCGGTGCAGTTGCACCGAAACTGTACGTGCACATTTGGTGCACTTTTGGTGCACGTTTGGTGCAGTTTATGTTCAGTTTTGGTGTAGTTTGCATCGTGGATTGTAGGGATTGCGCAACAGTGTCACGGATCGCAGGTGCACTTTACCACGTGTCTGGGAAAAATGCACCAAAAGTGCACCTAAAGTGCACCAAAAGTGCACGTGCAGTTTCGGTGCAACTGCACCGTAACTGTGCCAAAACTGTACCTCTATTGTCTGCCACGTTGTCTCTGCTTCTGTGCGTGTGTATGTGTGCGTGTTGTTGCTTCTGTGCGTGTGTGCGCGTGTCTGCCTCCAGTGTCTGCCACGCTGTCTCTGCTTCTGTGCGTCTGCAGTGTATTAGCGTGCTCAAGCGCTCTAGTGCGACAGTGCGTAAGCAGTGTGGCACGGGCCGCTTGTTCAGCGGTGCGCGCCAATCGGTGAAAGGCGAAAGTGGCGATGAAGAAGCCCGCAAGTGTCGGTGGTGTCGCTGGCCTGGTGGACTTCGCGAAAGGTCTCGAGCAGGATTTTCGCATCGAGTGAGGGGTGTGGAGGGGGGGGGGACAAGGAGGGATTCGTAGGGGCGAGGCTGACGAGGCACTGGGATCGCGCCTCGCAAAAAAAAAGGCCTCGCAGGAGACGCTGCCGGCTGACGGCGAGGACGGGTCTGGGGCCGAAGGCGCGGCAACAGCGTTGAGGCGCCCAGCAGCAGCAAGCGCGGCAACGACGTTGAAGCGCCCAGCAGCAGCTCCCGCCGCGCCCAACGACACGGCGGCGGCTTCAAAAAAACGCCCGGCGGCAGCAGGAAAGGATGAGGAGGAGGTCAGGGACCGCACGAAACAACGCAAGCTGGAAGACACCTTCGATCAGTTGCCGCAGGAGTGCCAGGATGCCATCCTTGACCTCAAAAATGGGGGTGGCAACAGAGACAAAGTGACGAAGATCATCAACGCCTTGGTCCACCGGGCGCCGGATGGCAAACTCGTGGTGAAAACCGGCGGGTGCGACGAGCTCTGGAAGCAGGCGCCGAGCATTCGCCCCTAAGCTGGTCAACCAAAACAGTCTAGGTCTCTGCACACGAGAGAACATCATTTATATATATATATAGAAAGAGAGAGAGAGAGAGAGAGAGAGAGAGAGAGAGAGAGAGAGAGAGAGAGAGAGAGAGAGAGAGAGAGAGAGAGAGAGAGAGAGAGAGAGAGAGAACCAATCTTTGGGGCTGCAGAACCCTGGCTCGAGACAACCGTGCAATTTGTGCTGTTGCAACCTGACTGACGTCCCGTGGACGAATTTTCAAAACGTCAACTGGTCGGTTCGCTGCTAACCCTCACAAATGCAATATATTCAATGTGATTGGCGTCGCTGTGCTGAGCGTCGAACCAGATTACCTCCACTGCTTCTATTTCGGGTCTCCAAAGCAAATCAATCACGACGACCGGGGAGCGAAGGTATCGGGGAGAAAATCTACATTGGAGAAAGCGGGCAACCTGACGTCGAAGCTGGTATCGGCAGTGAAGAAAACCATGAAGAAGTACGGCTACGGCGAGATCGGCCGAACGCTCAAGTTTAAGGTAGGAGGCCAAGAAACAGCGCGGCGCTTTATGGACGAATTCAAGTTCTGCTACTACATGCCTGGCGCTTTAATTAATACCCGCAGCTGGGGGGCGATGCCCGTTGCTAGTCTTGCCCATCTCGATTGAGACCCCCCCTATTGAACTGGAGCAAGAAATCGGGACACCTGTATCTTCGCAGAAACAATAATCATACCGCATACCAGTGCTCCTCCTCCTCCTACTCCTCCTCGCCCCCCCCCCCTCCCCCCCCCCCCCTCACCCTACTGCTGCTGACCCCTCTGTTTTTTGCAGCTGTCGCCAATGATGCCCCCCCCATCTTCCCCCGCCCGCGGTCTCCTCCCGCTCTCCCTTCCCGCCCCCCCCCCCCCCTCTGACATGCAATGCTGTTTTTTTTCTCGGCTGCAATTTTTCGCGCCGTTTTCGTTGGATGCGGTTTGTGCCAAACCGCGCGTCTGAACGATCCTATGTTGTTTTTACCGCTGTTCGGGCTCTGGGGCCAGCAAAAACGACTCGGTGCGGAACGATATGCGAGAAAATCACTGTTGCCAAGTTTCCCTTTTCTGGTGGTTATGAGCCTCCTTCCGTGTCTGTCTGATCCCCCCTCTTGTCCTTGCAATATGGTTGTGGGACGTTCTGCAAGTGTTTCGTTTTTTTGGCACCGAAAGATCGCACCTCCATTGAAACAACTTTCAAAACGGCAAGGCGAAGCACTTAAATTTGTACCGCGGGGCTGGCCAAGGTGAAGCACTTAAACTCGTTCCGCTGAGCTGGCCGGCGATTTTTTGAGGAGGAGAGGAAGGGGGGGCGAGGCGGAGGGCGAGGGGGCGAGTGAAGCCAGATGGCGAAGGATACGAATTAACCCTGCTGCGTATCATACCCTGGCCTGCCAAGCTGATGTTGGACAGACCCGCAAGTGGGTTTGTCCAATGTTCTGCAAGTGTTTCGAATGTTACCGTGTGCATTTACACGATCGCGCGAAAATTGCGAGTTCCATCTGTTTCTGATATTGTTGCTCCTTTTCCGCATTCTCGTTTCGCCTCGCCTCGCCTCCCCACTCGTTGCCTTTCTCCCCCCTCTTCTCTCGCTCGTTTGCCCCTTCCCCTCCTCTCCCCCCGTCCCCCCCTCTCCTCCCCTTTCCTCTCCCCCGCAATTTTTCTCCCCCCTCTGCCCGTCCCTGGCCGGGCCGCGGCCCCGCCTCCAGGCTCGTCTGGAGGAGGCGTACCACGACGGGGATGGCGGGGACGGCGCGGCCTCTGCCCTGCGCCACCCCGGGAGGAGGGGAGGGAGGAGAGGGGGGGAGGAACAGGAAGGGAAACGGACCAACCTCAGCACCAGAGGGAGCGAGGAAGGCAGAGGGAAATGGGGCCCGCAGCAGCAGCAGGGGGAGGGAGGGGAGGGGGGAGGCTGGAGGGGGAGAGGGGGGGGGGGACGCAAGAGGAGAGGGAGGGAGAGGGGACAAAACGTAAGAGCGAAAGCCCGGCATCAGAAGCAACAGAAGGAGCGAACGCAACGGCAGCAGCGGCAACAGCGGCCGATGCACTTACAGCCCTGGCAGCGGGGGCAGCGGCAGAAGCGGCGGCGGCGGCGAAGGCAGGGGAAGAGACAACGGGGACACAGACGGCGGGAGCGACGACCCTACCCTCTGCCTCCTCCTCCTCCTCCTCCTCCTCCTCCTCCTCCTCCTCCTCCTCCTTCCCCTCCTCCTCCTCCTCCTCCTCCTCCTCCTCCTCCTCCTCCTCCTCCTCCTCCTCCTTCTCGCCGCGAGGAGGGAAAGCCAGGGCGACGGGGGAGAAAAGGGAAGCAGCAAAAGCAGGCATGCAGAACTAGGATAGTTTCCTGCACGGGGCTTGCCTAGCAGGAGTTTCGAGCTACCCGTCTGCCCAATGCACCACAGGAGCGCTCTAGAAAAAAACCATGCTTGCACACATACGCCGCAACGTGCACGCAAGAGACGTTGCCTCTGGGTCTTCGCGCGGTCATTTTGCGGTCATTTTTACGACCTCGGGGCCATCTATGGGGTCATCGGGTCATCGAGGGGTCGTCGTGGGATCGTCTGTTGGCCGTGTTCGGGTAGTCTGTGGGTCTGTTAGAGACGTGGCGTGTGATCTTGGGATGGCATTGGGGTTGCCTTGAGGCCTTGCGGTCGGCATGGGGTCACGTGTTGGGTCATTGGGTCGTCATGGGACCATTTCGGGATCGCTTCGAAAGGCATGTTCGGGGCAATATTTGGGTCTTGGCGCCCAGGGCGGGGTCGAGTCGGAAACTCTCGGGTTCGAGCTAAGCCCAGAGCTCTCCGCCGCCAGCCCCACACATCCAGCCTATTGCATTTGATGTCATTCCCTCGACCTGCTTTCCACTTCCTTTCGCAGTTATAAGAAGATGGCTGGTCACCTTGACTGAACACAGCCTTCCCCCCCCCGCTTCAGCCGCGCGCGGCGCGTCGTATCGTGTGGGTCGCGGGTAAGTCGCGGGGAGGTCGCGGGCGAGTCGCGGGTGTCTCGCGATTGCGCTTACGGCAGGTCGCGGTCGAATCGCGGGTGCGTCGCGGGGGCGGGTCGCAGGCGGTGGGTCGTCGCGGGCGGGCGGCGGGCGGGGCGCGGGGCGGCGACGACAACAATGACAAAAACAATGGCAACTCGCATTGTGAAGCTGTCATCCGCCCGCGCAGGAGCAGCGTGAGACCGTTCGGCCCCCCGCTATATAACTTAAACAACAACTTAAGCTTAAACATAAGCTTAAATCCACTACGGTTCGAGGACGAAATGGACAAAACATTGCTTATCATGTTGCTTATCATTTAAGCCAAAATCTGACGCATTTTGGCTTAAATATAGGATAAACTTAAATTTAAGCGATTTGCTAAATATAAGGTTGATTTGAGACTTCAGGCACCTCTGTGGAGTGCACCCCGCCGGGGTCGGCCCTGGGGGGCCCTCGGCGCTCCGGCGTGTGCCCCACGTTTCGCGGCTCGTCTCGGGGACCTTCCTGGGGCCCACCTCCTCCTCCTCCTCCTCCTCCTCCTCCTCCTCCTCCTCCTCCTCCTCCTGGGGCCCACCTTCCTGAGCTCGCCTCTCCTCCCTCCTCCGCCTCCTCCTCCTCCTCCTCCTCCTCCTCTTCCTCCTCCTCCTCCTGGGCCCACCTTCCTGAGCTCGCCTCTCCTCCTCCTCCTCCTCCTCCTCCTCCTCCTCCTCCTCCTCCTCCTTTCCTCCTCTGTGCAAGTCCGGCTGCGCCCTGTTCTGACTGGGCTCGAAGATGCCACAAGAAACAAGGGCCCACCTAATGGATCTGTTCGACTCGGGTTCGACTCAAGTTCGACTCAGGTTCGGCACAGATTCGGCTCAGATTCGACTGAGGTTCGACTCCGCTTCGACTCGGGTTCTGCTCGGGTTCGATGCAGCTTCGACGCACGAGTGGAGCGAGGGGCTCCAGGAAGGTCCCCAGGATGAGCATCTAACCATGTCCAGGCCTGAGGCTAGCAGGGCCCGAGCCAGAGACGGCGTTTTTTGGAGCTCTCGTGGGCCGTCTTCGTTTCGGCCTCGTCTCGCAGCAGGTTACCAGCCTCGAACATATCCCTCTTCCTGAGCTTGGCATGCGAAAAGGCGATGACAATCTTAGGGATGTGCCCTAAAAAAATAAGGGAATCCCTGAGATTGGCATCGTGATGAGGCGATGCCCAGCATAGGGATAAGGATATGTTCCAGGCTGGTAAGCAGAGGCAGAACGGCGACAGAACGAGGGACCCCACGAGGGAGCAAAACGGGAACGAAGAACGCTGGGGATCGTTTTCTCAGTCGTTGTTTTGCCGATCGGTGCAGGCCCTCGCACCCCCTCCCCCCCAGGGAGTAGATCTTGGCGGTTTTTTGGCACCTGTCTCAAGCAGGTGGAGTCTCCCCCCATAGGACGCACTGCTGCAAACAGTCGCACTGAGGAGAGGTCCGGAGCCCCTCCCCCGCCCTCCCCTCCCCTTCCGCCCAACCTCGAATGCCAAGCAAGAAAGCCTTGACTCGTCCCGTCTCGGATGAGACAGTCGGCTCTCCTGGCGGGGGTCCTCTCGTGGCCCCCTTGGGCCCTCTGGAGAGCCTCCTGGGTCGTCTCACGCCCATCGGGCGCGCAAACAGTCGCACCAAGCAGAGGTCTGACGCCCCCCCCCTCTCCCTCCTCGTGCGTGTTCTTGCGGGCCTGTGGGGTCTTCTCCCTCCTCCTCCTCCTCCTCCTCCTCCTCCTCCTCCTCCTCCCTCCTCCCTCCTCCCTCCTCCCTCCTCCCCTCCTCCCTCCATCCCTTCCTCCCCTCCTCCTCCTCCTCCTCCTCCTCCTGCCTCTCCTCCTCCTTCCCTCCTCCTCCTCCTCCTACTTCCTCACTCCTCCCCCTACCCCCTCCTCCTCCTCCTCCTCCTCCTCCTCCTCCTCCTCCTCCTCCTCCTCCTTCTCCTCCTCCTCCTCCCCCCTCCCGCCCAAGTTCGAAGCGCCGCACGAGAGATCGTTCGCCCCGCCGCGGAGGGGGAGCACGGCCGGGCCCTCCGCGGGCTCCCCGAGGGGCGGCGGGCCCTCGCGGGCGCCCGGGCCCCCGCGGGCCCCTCGGGGGGGGGGGCTCGGGCCCCGCGGGGCCCCGGGCCCCGCGGGCCCCGCGGGGTCCTGCGGGGTCCCAGGGCACCGGGCTGCGTGGTCGGTCGGGCCGGGTCGGGCGGGTGGTGTAAGGTCGGCACGAACGAGAGGGGTACGGAAAGGATTCAAGCAGTGGCGAAGCATCCTGGCTCGCCTGTAGCCCTACCAAACAATGTTCTAAGAACCTTCTGTGGCTTCCTGGTCTTATACCATTTCTGGTGGAGTCTGTCTTGTTTATCGCATCGGGTTAATTTTCTAAGAACATTGTTTTGTTTTTATAACATTTCTGGGTTCTAAGAACATTTCGTGGTAGGACTATAGAAATGCCGGGACGGTCGGTCCCTGCTCAAAGAATGGGTACGATGCCCAACAGCAGTTCCTGTTCATTTTGAAACGGACTCGCTGTCGGTGTCGCCGCGGCCTGTGTCCATGTGAGACAGAAGGCCGCCCGCCCAACAGCGGCCGCTGTTGGTTTGGGAAAACATTTGTTGTTGGGCATTGTACCCATTCTTCCCGTACCCATTTCGGGCGTCTAAAGGTCGGGCGGGTGGAGTAAACGGGCAGTGGCCCAAGTGCTGGGTCGGGCCTGGCCCCCTCTGCAGGAGGGACACTCAGGGATAGTCAGCGAAATGGTCTGGGGACGACGCTCTGACTGCCTCTGTGTGCCGTTTTTGGTGCATGCTCTGAGTATGTGTGTTGGCATGTTCCGTCCAAAATCCCCCCTGTGGGGGGGGTTAGGCCCGACTTCCTGGCAACGGGGATGTTGCCCGCGCGGGGGGCGAAGAGCAGGGCCCCAGCGGGGGGCCCCGTGGGGCCTTTTGCGGGGCCCCCGCCGGCTCGAGCAGGGGCCCCCTGTGGGGCCCCGCACGGGCGGCCCGGATTGGTAGGTCGACCCTGCCAGATCAAGGGTCCCCATCGGTCGTTGAAAGTAGGTATTTTGGGATTCCCTTATTCCAATCCACTTTCAGCGCCTTCCTACTTCAAGAGTCGAGTGGTGTTCCCTCTGCCCTCCTCTTCAGCAGGCGGGCGGACACCCAATCTATTTCCAACGCCTTCCTATTTCATGTTTCCCACCTACTTCTTCCGACCGATGGGTACCCTCGTGTCCTGTGTCCTGCGGCCCATGCCTCCTGCAGTTCTGTGGCAACGTGGCCCTCGGAAGGGTCTCGTGTCCTCTCGCGCGTCCTCTCCAGTCAGAGTCCGGCTGCATCTCCGCCCCCCCTGTGGGTCACTCCCACTGCCGCCCGCTCGAGCCGAGGAAGATCGAAGTCGGCTCGGGGAGGGTGGTGCCCTCGCATTCTTCGCTCAGCGGGCCCTCGGAGACGGCATGGCCGTTTTACCTCACCGCGATTGAAGGAGCGTCTCTTGAAGACGGAATCGGTAAGAAAATGGCGGCCAGAAGCTGCAAGAAAGTGGCTCTGGGATTGGAGCCGAAACTGGAAACGGAAAGGAAATGGCGCAGGAATCGGCATACAAGCGGCGACGGAACCCGCAACAGCAACGGCGAAACGGAACCAGTAAAGAGGCGGCCTTGTCGCTGCCAGGGCCCACTAAGGTTCTTCGTGCTTGTTGTATGTTCTTGCGCATCCTTGAACGAAGGATTGCAAAAAAACCCAGGATTGCAAAAAAAACCCAGGATTGCAACAAAAACCCTTCGTCCAGGGTTTTGTTTTGCAATCCTTGGGTTTTTGTTGCAATCCTTCGAGGCAGCACCCTCGAGTGATCGTCGATCTGGGCCAGCCGGGGGCCTCGTGCTCTCGCAGGGTGTTCTTCCCTGTCCGGGGTCCGACGGCGGGCCTCTGCCCTATGGACGTCCAGCCCCCCCCGCCTCTCCTGCTCTGCTCCTCCCGCTGCCGGCAGGCGGTTGCGCACGGGCAGGGCGGCCTTCATCGAAGAAGAACAACACCACCCACCAAACCACCCCAACCCAACCCGAAGGCTCAGATTTACCCTCGATTTCTAGTGGGGGGGGGGTCGGGAAACATTGAGAAAACACGCGTGGAACCCGTACCCCCCCCCAACCCGAAATTCGGGTCTTCGGGTTGGGTTGGGGTGGTCTGGCAGGTAGTCACGCATGGGCAGGGCGGCCTTCATCGAAGAAGAACAACACGCCATAAAGGCTCAACAATCACCTCCAAGACGCCCCCCCCAGGAGGCCTCGAAGACGCGCCGTAGACGCACCTCAAGATGCCCACGCACTGCCTCCAACCTGTGGCGCCCCGTGCGGATTCCTTGTATCTGCGCTGGGCCCCCCTTTCCCGGCGCGCGGAGCGCGCCAGGGGCGGCGCACGGCGGCGCCGCCGTGGGGTGCCCGGCGCGGCTCCAAGACATCCGCACGGAGCGCCAAAAGTTTATGGGAATGGCGCTTGCTCTTCTTCGCTCCTCCTCCTCCCCCTCTTTCCTCCTCCTCCTCCCCCTCCTCCTCCTCCTCCTCCTCCCCCCCCCGTCCCCCCTCCCTCCTCCCCCTCCTCCTCCCCCTCCTCCTCCCCCTCCTCCTCCACGTTCACGGCGTTTTCAGCCAAGGCCCTGCCTCCAGAGAGGCTCTCTGGAGGCAGGGCCTTGGCTGCAGGGAGCCCTCGGCGCCGCGCTGACCACCCGGCTCGCCCTGGAGTCCGGCCTGGAGGAGACGTCGGCCCCCGTCCGCGGCCGCCCGAGCCAGATGGCCTGACCATTTCGGAGTGACGCAGGTCCGGGGGCTCCTGGTCAAAGAGAGTGCTTTTTACCCTCTGGGCCATAGCGCGCGTTATGGCCCCTCCCCTCCCCCCACTCCCTCCCCCCCCCGGAATGTGACGCTCCCCCCAGTGCGACCCCGGCACTGCCGCAGTGCGTCCAGCACCACAGGCTTTTGGGGGGTCGCCACGTTCTGCCCCTCTCCTCCCCCCCCTTCCCCGCCATAACGCCGCACGTTATGGCCGCGAATCAAACAATGCGCTTAAAGTGCGGTGCCCTCCGCTGAAAGTTGAACAAGGACCGACCACGACGTTGTTCAGCTCTGTTTGTTGCTCGCTGCTCGCTCCCGTTTTGTTCAGTTTTTCGCTGTTGTTGTACGCCCTTTTACGTCGTTCGCTTTCGTTTGGCACCGGCTTCGTTTTCAACTTCTGTTTTTAAAACGTTGAGCTTCGTTGCGTTGTGCGTTCTAGGCGCCATTTCGCCTTGAGCGTCGTTGTGATCGGCCCTCGCCTTTTTGCCTCACGGGTGCTTTTTTTGCCCGGACCGCGCGGAGCCTCATGCCCTCGAACAGCGGGCCCTTGAAGAGAGAGGACCGCTACCAATGCAGAAGCGTCCGGAGCACGCTTGGCTCGATTGATCGGCTGTCCACAGCGGGGGTGGACGCCCGATTGATTGACAGGAGCTCGTCGCTGCCCCGGGGTGTATAGTAGGTATCTCTCTGCCTTTGCTTCCCTTTCGGTCCGCCGCCCTCTGGTCCGCTGCATGTTCAAATTCCAGGGAAGGACTCTGCACCAGTGGAGCCAGTAGTACACACTCGAGATCGCAAAGTAACCGTGTACTGCGACATCTGAGTTTCGGCGCTCCGGCGCCCCTGCCGAGCTCCTAGAGGGCCGCCCCCGGGGTCGCACGTCGGCGCCTGTCCTGTCCTATTCCCCCCTTCCGCTCATCCCTTTGAAGGGGAACGGACAATAACGTAAGCATACAAACTTGGAGGTCCGCGCGGATTTCTCGGATCGGCGCTGGGGGCCCCTGGCTGCGCCTCCGGCGCCGCCCCTGGCGCCCTTCGCGCGCCAAGGAGGGGGGTCCAGAGCGGATCCGAGAAATCCGCGCGGACCCCCGATTTGTGATGCTTATGTCATGGTTTGTTTCCTTAGTTCGGGCCAGAGGCGAAACAGGTGGCAGCTGTCTCTGGATTTCCGTCCCTTGGTGGCACAGTTCAGTTCCCGCTCGTCTTTTGAATCTAGCTAGATAACAGGTTCTTGATTTGTTTAAGAAGTATTTTGTTGAATTCATGAAGTTGGCTTTTTGAATTCAGTTTCGGATTCAGCAAGTCAGGTGTTTGGTTGACTTTTAAGATCTGCTCAAAAAACATGTCAAGAAATCAGTTTTCTACTTCAAGACATTGTTCCCTACCTAGGTTCTGCCTAGAAGGGTTCTTACTATTAGGCTTAAAGGGTCGGGCAGTGGGGCTCGCCCCGTGGAGGTTCCCCCGGCATCCGCTCCGCGGTTCCCCCAGCGACGTTCCCTTAGCTTAGCGTTGCTTATCTCATCTTAGCTTCTCTTATTGCATCTCAGCTCAGCTTCATCTTAGCTTAGCTCAGCTTCATACAACTGTCTGATGTTCCTGTCCTGGATCCTCCAACTCCTAGGTAGGGTCGCACTGGGATTTTTTATTTTTGAGACCGGGCTCCTCCCTGCCCTCCCCTCGATCGGGAGCCTTGAGACGGGGGTCAATGCAAACGGGGGTCAGCCAGAGCGCCTGATCTTGCATTGACCCGGGTTTGGGTGCAGGATCCTGCAGGATCCTGCAGGATCATTCGCATTGACCCGGGTTTGGGTGCAGGATTTTGCAGGAGGTTGCAGGATCCTGCAGGCCTGACTGACCCGGGTCTGGATTGACCCGGGTCAGGAGATCCCCTCCCCTCGAGCCCCCGCCCCACGCAGGCGCGGGGCTGCGAGCTCTGGGTGTCGCTGCTGGAGAAGGCCATGGCGAAGGTCGGAGGCCCGTGGCGCCCGGGAGGGCACGCGGGCCCGGACCTCCGGCGGACTGTGCTTCGAGAACTCCTCCTCCTCGTCCTCCTCCTCCCCCTCCTCCTCCCCCTCCTCCTCCTCCTCCCCCTCGCTCCTCCTCCTCCTCCTCCTCCTCCTCCTCCTCCTCCTCCCCCTCCTCCTCCTGCTCCCTCCTCCTCCTCCTCCTCCTCCTCCTGCTCCTCCTCCTCCTCCTGCCCCTCCTCCTCCTCCTCCCCCTCTCCTCCTCCTCCTCCTCCCTCCTCCTGCTCCTCCTCCTCCTCCTCCTTCTCCTCCTCCCCCATCCCCCTCCTCCTCCTCCTCCTCCTCAGAGAGCTCTGGGGCCCCCAAACGGTGCGGTGACCGCACCGTGTGGTGAGTCGGTGTGGATTCGGGGTCACTGCAAGGTTTTGGGATTCGGGTCACTCTCCGAGGACGTCTTGGGCGGTCTGGGGCCTCCAGGGTTCCAAGACCGTGCGGTGACGGACCGACCCTGCGGTGAGGTCGTTGGGGATTCCGAGGGCACCGCACGGTCTGTCACCACAGATCCCCAGGGAACGGCACCAACAGAAACTTTGGGAGCTCTCCGCGGGTCTTTTTGATCGGCGCTGGACCCCCCTCCCCGGCGCGCGGAGTGCGCCGGGGGCGGCGCCGGAGGCGCAGCCAGGGGAGCCCAGCGCCGATCCAAGCATCCGCGCGGAGCTCCGAACGTTTCTGTCGTTGCCGCTGCTTTCGCCTCTGGTCCCGCAGCGTTCCCTCCACTGCGGCCCCCCGGGGCTGTTGTCGTTCTCGGGCCCCCGGGGGCCACTGGGGAGCAGTGCCGGGCACGGCCTCGTGCCTCGTCGCGTTCCCCATGTCGTCCAGGACTGTGTTTGGCGTCTTCGCCTGCTCTTGTGCCTCCAGAGGCGGCCTCGCCACAGAAGGGGCAGACGCGCCGCGGAGTCCTGGGCGCAGCGCGCTCCGGAGCAGGGCGGGGGGCACAGCTTCGAGGACTGCCCGGGCCTCTGGCGTCGCGGGGCAGCTTCGGCAGCAGTGGGTCTCTCCTGGCCTGCTGGCCTCCAGCTCTGGGCTCGTCTCGGGCCCCGGTGCCGTTGGCAAGAGCGGCCCGCGAAGGCAACGACTTTGGGCAGGTGGGCCAAGTCCTGAATGGCCCGCGTCGAACGATAGCAGTCACCACCTACCAAACCACCCCAACCCAACCCGAAGGCCTCAATTTGCCCTCCATTTCCAGTGGGAGGGGTGTCGGAGAACGTTGAAAAAACACATGGAACCCGTACCCCCCCTAACCCGAAATTCGGGTCAAATTCGGGTCTTCGGGTTGGGTTGGGGTGGTCTGGTAGGTAGTCAAGCAGCGCGGGATATCTGGCGCCGCGCCGAACAGCAGCGCGGAAACGACGCTCAACCCGCGCTGCGGAGGGCGAGGACGAGAATGAGGAGGTGGACGTGGGAGAACATGTGGCATACAAAGGGGGGGGTGAGCAGGAGGAGGATGAGGATGAGGAGGAGGAGGAGGAGGATGGAGGATGGAGGGCTGCGTTCACCGAACATTCTAGCCGACACGAACTAGGAACCAGGAACGAGGAGGAGCAGGAGGAGGACAAGGGGGAAAGGAGGATGAGGAGACCACGGATGAGCAGTGGAAGATGGAAAAAGAGGAGGATAACGAAACGGGATGAGTTATACTTAGTAGTTAGAATGGAAGAGTGACTGACGAGAGAATCGAGCAGGTATCCAGCTGCCCACCGTGCCTGCCCAGCATCCTAGGTGGCGACTCTCCAGGGATCGCACAGGATGTTGTAACGCTTGAAACCTCGTGCCCCGAGGCCTGGAAGAGCCGTAGCATGTGACACACCCTCGTGGGATTCCATGGGGGCAGCCTTAGGAGTCTCTTGAGTAACTTTGGGATGTCTTCGGGCTCTCTTGGGTTGTCCTGGGGCCCACTTGCCAGCCTGGGGGGCTCTCTCGTAGCCGTCTTGAGGCTGTCTTGTCTTGGGCCTCGCTGGGAGCCCTCTTGGGAGGGAACGGAGGAGGGAGAGGACAAGCTAGGTGCGCCCGCGTCATATCTGAGGTCCTACCCCTCCCTCCCATCCCTTACCATGGCGTAGATATCCTTTCGATTCGCACAATCGGATGTCGCAACATGGCATAGCATTGCATGACATAGCATGGTGTTGAAGATCAACGCGTAGCATGACACAGCATGACGTGGCGACGACCCAGAATGGGGGGAGCGTCTGCGGCCCAAAACATCAACGAATGGTCACCAAATGTGTAATCACTTTCGATGTTTTTTTGCGGGAGGGCATTTTCTAGATATTGGGGCTTATTTGGAAGGACCGAAAACCATGCCGTGGCATGGCGCTGGAAATAATCACTCCAGCGTTGCAGTGGGAGCACGATGCGGGACGAGCGGGAGCGCGGAAATGAGGCCAGCGCTGCTTCGGGAGCACGATTCGGAATGAGCGGTAGCCTGAAAATGAGGCCAGCGCTTCAGCGAGAGCAGCAGTTTGAAAACAACCCAAGCGAAAACCCAACTCCGGGGAATCCTGTATGTAGAAAGCCCGTGCGCGGAGCGGGGCCGAATATTTCCCCGACGACACCAGGGGAGAAAAGAGAACAGTGTTAATATTGTGCAAGCGTAGAGGAGGAGAAGGAAGAGGAGGAAGGATGATGACGACGAGGAGGAGGAGGAGCAGCAGGAGGAGCAGGAGGAGGAGGAGGAGGAGGCGCCCGCCGAAGGCGAAGCAGTCGTCCGGCCCGTCCTGGGCCGTCTAGGGGCCCACTTGGGCTGCCTTGAGGCCGTCTTTGAGGATTGTTTTGCAATGTTAGAGTTTTCTCGGGCCGCCTTAGGGGCCATCTTGGAGGCCTCTTGGGCCGTCGGAAGCTGCAGGAAAGTCCGAAAATGTGACGACGCCCACTTCTCCGAAACCCGGATGGAATTTCTACGCTTTGTGTCTCTTCGAGCCCTACGGGGGACGACCAATTCATTCTGAACGATTTCTTCAGCGACGAGTCCATCCAGAAGAACGTTCCTCCGGACGAATTCGTCCAGATGAAGTTGCCGGGATCAATTCGTCTGGGTGACCTTGTTTGCGGATGATTTCTTCTTTGGATGAATTCGTCTTTGGATGAATTCGTCTTCGGATAAGTTCGTCCGGGAGAAGTTGTCCAGACGAACTCGTCCTGATCAATCCGATCGTTTTTTGTATTCATTGTTTTGCCGATCGGCGCGGGCCCTCGCACCCCCTCCCCCCCCCCCTGAGGAGTAGATTTTGATTGTTTTGGGTGCCTGTTTCAAGAGGTCCAGAGCCAGACCCCCCCCTCCACCCCCCTTCCGCCCAATGTCGAAACGCCAAACATGAAAACGCGGCCTCGTCCGGTTTCGGATGGGTAGTCTTGAGCCTATCTTGGGCCGTCTTTGGGCCGTCTTGAACCATCTTAAGCGGTCCTGGTGGCCTCCATCGTGTCTTATGGGCGATCCTGGCCTCGTGGGCACGGACCCATAGTTTTTACATGGGGTCGTGCCTTCTGGAGCGCGGACCCATCTTTCTTGTGGCAGCGATCGTTGCCTCGGGAGCGCGACTCCATATTTCCAATAAGTGATCGACTACATCATCGATTCACCCCAACATTGATTTCTCTCGTCGAATCCGTGGAACATGCGCAGAAACCATGGTAGATCTGCGAAGCTTATACGTATGCTTCTATATATTCGACGTGGCAGTTAGTTTCAGGAGGGAAAAACAGACATACACAATTAATCGTCGATTCCCCAGAAACTATGGGAACATATGGGAAGTGGGGGGGGGAAGACGAAAACCTAACAAATATGAGCAAATATAGGGAATCCTTTTCTTTGTGTGTATTCATTTGTGCGTCCCTGGGCCCCTTGATAATTCATTACCAGGTAAGGCAATCCTGTAGTCGCTCCCCTACTCGAGTATTCTCTCACAAGGGATCGTGGCCTCGGCAGGGGGGGCCACTGCACGCGGCAGTCCGCTGGTAGAGCGGGGGCTCAGAATACGGTCGGACCGGGGTGCAAGACCGAGGTCGGTCGGTTCGGGGAGGGTGCCCTGCTATTCGTCGTGCTGGTGGAATGTTGTGGTGCATCCTGAGGGAGGGTACCCTCGAATGCTCTTCAGTTTGGCTGGCGGAGGGTCTCGTGTTCTTGAAGGGTGCTCTTCTGTCCTAGGTTTCGCCGTATTCCAGGGACCAACCTCCCCAGAGAGTCCTTGGCATTATGCCAGGCCTCGCCTTGCCAGAGGGCACGGAGGCGGATAAGGCAGGGATGAAGCAAGAGAAGTACCAGGAAGAGGGGCCATGGAAGAGGGATGAGGCAGGAGGGAGGAGGCGGACAAAGAGGCGGACGGGTAGGCAGTAGGAAGCAGGAGAGGGGAGATCAAGATGAGCTGGATGAGGTGGTTCAGAGGGGGAACGCAGCCGCCATCTGCCACCCAAACCAGCTCGTGAGAGAAGGCGGGGGAGGACACGAAGGAGGAGGATGAGGAGGAGTAGGAGAGGGAAGTGCACGGCGATAATGAAACGTGGGTGGTTGGTGGTCGATGTGAAGAAAAGGAGGGGGAGGAGGAGGAGGCAGAGGATGAGGAGGAGGAGGAGGAATTGGAGGAGGAGGAGGAAGAGGAGGAGGAGGAGGAGGAGGAGGAGGAGGAGGAGGAGGAGGAGGAGACGGGGTTCATAAAAGGATACCTGGACGGACGCCGCCCTCGCCGCCGCATGCAGTTCGTACACATGGTGGAGAGGGACGACGCGGGGGCCGAAGAAGCAGCGTGATGTCGAGCGGTGGACGGAGGGGAGAGAGAGAGAGAGAGAGAGAGGTATCTATATACCTATACGACCACCCTTCGGGTGATAAGGAGGTTGTGGGTGGGGAGAGAGGGGGGAACCAACATCTGAGCCAATCGATCTCAGTATCGATCTCACTCAACGGAACCCCACGGGACACCACGGGACACCACGGGACACGTGTCGATCTCACTATCAATCTCATTATCGATCTCACTCAACAGGACATCACGGGACACCACGGGCCACCACGGGACACCACGGGACACCGCGGAACACCTCTCGATCTCATTATCGTCTCACTATCGATTTTCCTATCAATCTCACTCAACGGGACACCATAGGACACCACGGGACACCACGGGACACCTCGGGACACCACATCGATCTCACAATCGATCTCACTATTGATCTCACTCAACGGGACACCACGGGATACCACGGGACACCACGGAACACCTGTCGATCTCGGTAAGGATCTCATTGTCGTTCTCCCTTTTTCGGACACCACGGGACACCACGGGACACCTCGGGCACCACATCGATCTCAGTATCGATCTCACTATCGGTCTCACTCAACGGGACACCACGGGACACAACGTGATACCAAGGGACACCTGCCGATCTCACTATCGAGCTCACTATCGATCTCACTTTATCGGACACCACGGTTCACCTCGGGGCACCACATCGATCTCAGTATCGATCTCAGTATCGATCTCAGTATCGATCTCACTATCGATCTCACTATTGATCTCACTCAAGCAGACACCACGGAACACCACGGGACACCACGGGACACCGCGGGACACCGGCGTGACACCGCGCGGCACCGGCCGCTGGAGGAGAAACATTTGGTCCGGCCGCGGCCCAGTCACAGGAGGATTTCGGGACACCAGCGGGACACCAGCGGGACACCGCGCGGCACCGGCCGCCGGAGGAGTTGAATTTGGTCCGGCCGCGGCCCAGCCACAGGAGGATTTCCTCTCGCCCGCCCACGCAGCTTCGCCTCGCCCGCACGCGCGCACGGCACGCACGGCACGAACCCCGCAAGCGAAATCGATCTCCCGGTAGGGGGATTCTCCGCTTCACGTCGGACTCATCCCCCGACCTCCGATGTATGCACATTTTTAGCATTATATATATATATATATATATATATATGGATCCCGGTCCGGCCTGTATACAGGAGGAGGAGAAAGAGGAGGAGGAGGAGGAGGGAGGAGGAGGAGGAGGAGGGGAGGAGGAGGAGGAGGAGGAGGAGGAGGAGGAGGAGGGAGGAGGGGAGGCGGAGGAGGAGGCGGAGGAGGGGGAGGGGGAGGGGGAGGGGGAGGGAGGGGGAGGGGGAGAAGGAGGAACAGGAGGAAAAAACGAGGAGGAGGGAGAGGAGGAGGAGGAGGAGGAGGAGGAGGAGGAGGAGGAGGAGGAGGAGGGGAGGAGGAGGGGGAGGGAGGGCGGAGGGGAGGGGGAGGGGAGGGGGGAGGGGAGGGGAGAAGGAGAAAAGGAGGAAAACGGAGGAAAAGAGAGGAGGAGGAGTAGGAGGAGGAGGAGAGGAGGAGGAGGAGGGGAGGAGGAGGAGGAGGAGGAGGAATAGGAGGGAGGAGGAGGAGGAGGAGGAAGGAGGAGGAGGAGGCGGAGGATAAGGAAGAGGAGGAAGAGAGGAGGAGGAGGAGTAGAAGGAGGAGGAGGAGGAGGAGGGGGAGGAGGGGGAGGAGGGGGAGGGGGAGAAGGGGGAGATCGAGGGGAAGGAGGAGGAGGAGGAGGAGATCCCGGCCCGGCCTGTACGAGGGCGCCCCCCCGCTCCGGGGGCGCTCTCCGGGCCGCCCTCCGAGGCCCCGAGGCGGCGCGCAGTCGCTCCCACCGAGCGTCCAGGATGGCCTCTGGGCGCCCGGGAACCTCTCGGGGGCGGCCAAGATGGGGGTGATGACTGCAAGGGCGCCCTCGAAGGCGCGAAGGTATTCGCGCCTCGCGCTTCGCGGTTCGGCTCCGATTCCTCACTCCGCGCTTCGCGCAGCGCGAAGCGCGAAGTTGGGAGCCCTTGTGACTGGGGTGGTGGTGGATGTCACGGCGGGGGCCATGAGATCACCCGGGAACGTTTCGGGGGCGGCCAAGAGGGGGGTGATGACTGGGGGAGGTGTGGATGTCACGGCGGGGGCCGTGAGATCACCCGGGAACCTCTCGGGGGCGGCCAGAGGGGGGTGATGACTGAGGGGGGGGTGGATGTCACGGCGAGGGCCATGAGATCGCCCTTGGATTTCATGGCGCCTCTTCTGATTTCATGGCGTCCCTGGCCCCCCCCTGGGCCGCGCACATGCCGCCGGCCATGATTTGCGCCCCCCCCTCTTGGACGCCTCCCTCTTGGCCGACCCCGAATCTCCCAAGACGCTCCCAGCTTGCCCCATGAGCGCTCCAAACGGCCGCACGTGATATTCCGACAGCTCACGAGGCTCCCCAAGAGCCCCAGGAAGCTTCCCAAGACAGCCTCGCGAGGCTCAAATCCTCCAATTCCCGAGGGAAAACATACATTTTCACCACGTTCGCTTCTTCAGTCTTCACCGCGTCGAAGACAGCCCAAGAGATCCCCAAAGTCCCGGGACGGCCCAAGAGTGCTCCAAGGACGTCCCAAGACGGCCGACGACGGCCCAATATCGCCCCAAGATCGCCCGAAGAGGTTCCCAAGACAGCCCAGGAGGGCCCCAGGAGAGCCCCAAGAAAGGCCCACGACGGGGCACCCGAGCTGAGACTTCGAGCCCTCCACCTCAAGATGACCGCCGAGGCCGCGGAAAGGCCCCCCAGCCGAGAGGCCCCAAAGAGCCCCAAGGAGGCTGAGGCCCCGAGGGGCTTCAAAGCTGATACGAGAAAGCTTCCAAGGCACATCCCCGAATGCTGCGCAGAGTGTCCAACCTGCCGATTGCCCGGAGGTCCCAGAAAGCCTGAGAGTCTTCCAAGGCCGCCGGAGAGGATTTGAGACCAGCACTCAAGGCCCCCCAAAGCGCCCCACGAGAGCTCCAAGACCGGTCCGAGAGCACGCACAGCAAACAACCCCATGGCATGCGCTAGAACCCGCGCGCGCGGTTCTAGCATCTATGTGTGTACATATGTATGTATGTATGTATGTATGCATGCATGCATGTATGTATGTATGTATGTATGTATGCATGCATGCATGCATGCATGCATGCATGCATGCATGCAGGTGTGTGTATGTATATATTGTTGTATGCATGTATGCATGCATGTATGCATGTATGTTTTCATGCATGTATGTATATACGTATGTATGTGTGTACGCGTGTATGAACGTATGTAGGTGTGTATGTATGTATGTATACATATGTCGACATATGTCTGTATTCATGTATGTACGCACACACGCATGCATGCATGTATGTTTGTATGTATGCTTTGTGTGCATGTATATATGCATGCATGCATACATGCATGTGTGCATTCATGTATGCATGTATACATGCATGTATATGTGTATGCATGCATGCATGCATGCATGCATGCATGTATGTATGTATGTATGTACGTATGTATGTATGTATGCGTGCACGCATGTATTTGTATGTATGTATGCACGTATGTGTATATGCATGCACGCATGCATGCATGCATTCATGCATGGGTGCACGTATGTGTGTATGAATGCATACATGCATGCATGCATGCATGTTTGTATATGTGTATGCATGCATGTATGTATGTATGCATGCATGCATGCATGTATGTATGAATGTATGTATGTATGTATGTATGTATGTATGTACGCACGTACGTGTGTATGTACGTAGGTATGTAGGTCGGTCGGTAGGTATGTATGCAGCGATGTAGATATGTATGTGTGTATGTGTGTAGGTATGCATGTATGTATGTGTGTACGTACGTATGCATGTATGTAGGTATGCATGTATGTATGTATGTCTGTCTGTATGTATGCATGTATGCATGTATGCATGTATGTATGTATGTATGTATACATGTATGTATGTATGTGTGTATGTATGCATGTATGCATGCATGTATGTATGTATGTATGTATGTATGCATGTATGCATGTATGCATGTATGCATGTATGCATGTATGTATGTATGGGTGTACGTAGGCATGCATGCCTGCATGCATGCATGTATGCATGCATGCATGTATGTATGTATGTATGCATGTATGTATGTATGCATGAGTTCGTTGATATGTGTACGTATGCGTGTATGCATGCATGCCCGTCTGTCTGTATGTATGTTTGTATGCATGTATATATGCACGTATGGATGAGGGTATCTATATATGAATGTATACATATTCATGTGCCTGTCTATGCTTTTGTTTCTCTCTTTTGTTTGTTCTCTCTCTCTCTCTCTCTTTCTCTCTCCCTCTCCTCTTCCTTCTTGTCCCCCCTCCCCGCCTGTTGTATATTCATGAGTTTATACATTACAATCGGGGAGGCGAGAGGGGACGATAAGGAGGGGGAGGGCGAGGAGCACGAGGGTGCATGCTCATAGAAAAGAGGAGGGAGGGAGGGAGGGAGGGAGGGAGGGAGGGAGGGAGGGAACGAGGACGGAACACGGACAGGGACGAGGGAGGAGGGCGAGGAGGAGGAGGCGGACGCCGGGGATGGGGGGGGCGAGGACGAGGAATGGGGGTCGAGGCGAGCAGGAGGACGCACAGCACGACGGGGAGGGGGAGCGCGGAGCGCGGGGGGAGGCTGGCGCCGCCGCCGCAGGCGGCTCCTACGAGATGGAGGGCTCGAACCCAGGCGCGCCCGCGGCCCTCGCGTGCGGGACCTGCGACGGCGGCCTTCGCCGCAGCGGGGGGCCCCACACTTGGGCGGCCTGGCGCCCTCGGTGCCTCCCCCCCCCCGGGTGTGGCTGGAGGTGTGGGGCCTCTCCCTTTCGACCCCTCCTGCCTCCTCCTCCTGCCTCCTCCTCCTCCTCCTCCTCCTCCTCCTCCTCCTGCCCCTCCTCCTCCTCCTCCTCCTCCTCCTCCTCCTGCCTCCTCCTCCTCCCCTCCTCTCCTCCTCCTCCTCCTCCTCCTCCTCCTCCTCCTCCTCCTCTCCTCCTCCTGCCTCCTCCTCCTGCCTCCTCCTCCTCCTCCTCCTCCTCCTCCTCCTCCTGCCTCCTCCTCCTCCTCCTGCCTCCTCCTCCTCCTCCTCCTCCTGCCTCCTCCTCCTGCCTCCTCCTGCCTCCTCCCGCCATTTCCCGCTATTCACCGCGCCATCGGGGTCAGAGCCCCGCAGCGCCGCGCGGCGGCCGACGGCCGCCGACTTTTTCCAGCTGCGGGCCGCTGGGCGCCCCTTCGTCTTTTCTTTTGTGTTTGTCCTTCCAGCGGCTGGCCGCTGGGCGCCCCTTCGTCTTTGCTGGTGGCGCCTCTGGTCCTTCCCTTGCGCCCCTGCATGTCCCCTCCTACTCCTCCTCCTCCTCCTCCTCCTCCTCTCCTCCTCCTCCTCCTCCTCCTCCTCCTCCTCCTCCTCCTGTCCCTCCTCCTCCTCCTCCTCCTCCTCCTCCTCCTGGCCCTCCTCCTGCATGTTACGCAGGCTGGAGGCGGCGCTGTCCTGCATGTTGCGCAGGCGACTGGCAGCAACCCTTCGGCGGTTGTGCGCTGTTGCTTTCAGCCGAGGAGCCTGTCCGCTCCTGAAGTGCTCGCATACTGCTGTGGCCCTTGAGCTGCTGGCCACTGGGCACTCCTTCGGCCTTTGCTTTCTGAGTTGTAGCTTTCCAGCTGCTGGCCGCCTGGCGCACTGTCTTCGCTTTCCAGCTGCTGGCCGCTGGGCACCGCTGGGCCCGCTTGAATCCCTCGACCTCGTCCTGGGCGCTCTTGAGGTAGGGCGCCAGGCGCAGGTCCGCACCGAGCTCGTTCTAGGGGCGCTCGGGGACCCAGGCGGCCATCTCGTCGCTGTCAAGGAAGCACCAAGCCTGGGTGGCCAGCTCCTCTCCGTCCGCGCCGCGGCCCTGGGCGTGGCAGCGCCTGTGGTGCGCGAAGGTGGCGAGCTCTACGAGGGAGACCTCCTCGAAGGCATGCTGCTCCTCGTTCGGGAGCTGCGCGAACGCCTCGCGGGCTCCCACTGCTTGTACAGCGTCGAGGCGTGCACGCGCGACGGCCTCCTCCATGTCGTCGTTGAGGTCGCTGAGCGCCTCCTCGAGGTACTCCTCGAAGACATCCCATGGTGTGCGGATGCTCGTTGGGATCTGGCCGCTGACCCCATAAAGTGTCGTCCACCTTGGTGTAGCTAGAGGCGTCGGACTCGCTGCCATCCTCGAGGTCGCACAGGCCGTCAGCGCGTTCACCGTCATCCCCGCTGGTGGCCGTCCTGCGGGCGCACTTGATGAGGTCTTCGCTCATGTCGACGGCCCTATCGAAGTCGGCGTCGCTTACCTCGCCCCCCGCGGTGAGGAGCAGCTCGAAGCCAGCACGAGGAACGCTATCCAGCTGGAGGGCCGGCGGCCACTCCCGTCTCTGCCTGCACGAAGTCGACGAAACACCTGTTGTTGCCGAGGATGCGGCGCTCCCAAGGGAAGTCGTCGGCGACCCCCTCGAGCGAGATGTGGATACCATGCTCGCGAGCGGCCCCCTGTGGCTGGCGAAGGCGGGGCTCGAGTGCGAGAGCTGCTGTGTCTGCGCCGCCCGCCCCCAAAAGTTCGCCGCGGCGCCCTGTGCCGAGAGAGTCTGCGACGAGGGCTGGTCGGGCCGCGCATTCATCATCGCCCAGAGCTGGGACTCCGGGTCCCAGTGCAGCGCCTTGGATCTGCTTGCCAGGTGGTCCTCGTCCAGTTCGTTCGGCGGCGTCGCTGGGCTGCGGCCACTCGCGAGCCTGTCGGGGCCCACAGGCCGCTGGCTCTCCAGGTTCCGAGGCGAATCCGGCCATGGCGAGAGGGGAGGGGTCCTCGGCGACATGGCCCGAAGGGCTAGGGGGGCCGCCGAGGGGATCCCGCGGGGTGGGGCTGGGTCCCTCCCATGTTGGGGTCTTCTGGCCTCGCGGGGCCGGCGCCCTAGGGAGTGCCCCGGGCCCTCCTCCGCAGGGGCGCCCCCTTCCGCCCGTGCCAGCCCCGCGGGGGCCGGCCGCCCTGTCTCTGGACGGCTGCTGCCGGGCCCCCCCTCGCATGCTCGGGTCCTCCTCCGCAGAGGCGCCCCAGGGAGTGCCCACTTGGCGTCGCTCGGACGTGTGCATTTCTTCTCGGCGAGAACCATCGAGGACCATCCTTGACCATCGAGCAAAAGAGAAACACGCACGAAACCGAAAAATGCACGGGAAATGGACGTCCGAGCGACGGCAAGCGGCCCGGGGCCCCCCTCTTCTGGTGAGGTGCCCTCGGAGTCGGGCCGCCCCGCAGCGGCCGCCAGCGGCGCCGCGCGGCGGGCCGCGAGGCGCCTGCTGGGAGCCGTCCGCCGGGCCGTCTGCGCCTCGGCGGCGCGGGCGACCTGCCGCCGGCGAGCGCTTAACGGGCGGCGGCGTCCACGAGCCCCTGGGCGGGGTGCGCCACGCCAGCGGCGCCAGCGTCGGCGGCTGCAGGGGCGGCGTCGGCGGCCACGATGGCGCGCGGCAGCTCGTCGAGCACAGTCGTGGCGTGGCCCTCGTGCCCTGGGAGCGCTTCGCAGGCAGAGCTTCCAGGGTCTCGCGGCACGAGCTCGGGCGCCGCCGCACGCATGCCTGCGGCGCGGATGGGCCGCTCGCCCGCTAGGGCCTGCACTGCGGTCCCCAGTTTGCGGATGCCCAGGCCGTGCTCCTTCAGCGTGTCGCTGAGCTCGCCCAACTGGGGCTTCACACCTACGAGGATATCGTCCAGCTCCGAGTCACAGCGGTGCCTGGCTCGATGCTAGCCGTTGCGCTGCCAATCGCCATAGTCCCAGCGGGCGTCGGGCCACCACTCGTGCCTCCATCCGCTGGTCTCCCAGACGCCTCTCGCGGCAGGAGGGCAGCGCTGCCAGCCAGACCTCGAGCGCAGCCAGGCCTCGATCGCGTCGCGGCGACGCCTGCGAGCGAGGCGTTGTGCCGCTGAGGAGCCAAGCGCGCTGATGTCGGCCTGGCGCTGGCTGGCCAGCCGCCACGTCATCGGGCAGTCCAGGGCCGCCACACCGCGGGCAGCCCTCCGCAGCCAGGTTCTCCTGGCGCGCGGCCGCCGCGGCCGCCTCTGCTGCGGCGCGTGCGGCGCGCTGAGCCCCGGCTGATGGGGCGGGCCCGTCGGGCGAGGGGGGCATCTGCCTCCTCCTCCTCCGCCTCCTCCGCCTCCGCCTCCTCCGCCTCCTCCGCCTCCTCCGCCTCCTCCGCATCCAGTTAGTAGAAGGTCCCCATGCATGCGTTGGTGGCCTGCACCCAGTTCGCGTTTTGTTTGCAACCGTTGTTGTACGACTGCCGCCTCGACGGTTGACTGCTTAGCTCAGACATGCATGCCACCACGGAAAGGAGAGCACCAGACAGCTCGCCCCTTGGCCATCGACCAGCCCCACGCCACGAGGCGAGCATCTACACATACACACATACAAGTGGCACGTGTGTGTCCAGGTTCATTCAAAAAGCTGAAATGGCGTTTGAAGCAGGAAGACACCATGACGGCGGGATCGGAGATGGAGAAGGGGAAGCTGGGGCGGCGCCGCCAGGGCGTGCCTAAGAGAAGGGGAAGAGGCATGATGATAGCTGCTGGGAGTGAAATGCAATAGCGAGGTCGCACTCGAGCGCAAGTGGGGTTGCCACACCTTGCGATGTGTGTACCACGGCCCCCCCAGTAAGCTTCAGGAGGCCCGACTTGGATCCGGAAGGGGCTCCAGGAGGCCCCAGGATTGTGAGTGTTGTGTGTGTGTGTGTGTGTGTGTGTGTGTGATGTGTGCTCTGTGTTGTGCGTGTTTTCCGTGCGTTGTAGGTGTTGTGTGTGTTATGTTTGTCTAGCGTGTGCTGTGTTGAATGTGATTTGCGTCTCTGTGTGTGCATGTAGTTCTGAGGCCCCAGGAGGCCCCAGGCGGTCCGCAGGAGGCCCCAGGAGGTTCCAGGCGACCCCCAGGAGGCTCCGAGGCGGGGTCTGGGGTACCAGAAGGTACAGAAAGCCCCAGGAGGCCCCAGGAGATTCCAGGAGGCCCCCAGGAGGCTCCGAGGCGGGGTCTGGGGTACCAGAAGGTACGTCGGGGCTCGATTTTGGGAGGATGTCTCGGGCGAAACCGCCATTCTCTGAGAATCGGGGTCAAGCTCATTGAAATTACAATGTGTTTTTGAAGGTCTTATGTTTTGGACCCTGACGTCACGATCTGTGTAAGGGGTGCCACCGATTATCAAACTTTCGAGGATGTCCCGAACGAGACGGCCAGAAAAATCGCGAACGCGGCGCGTACGCATTAATCGCTTCTGAGCTCTGCTCCCTCGGATAGGTGCGTATGAGAATATATATATATATATATATATATATATATATATATATGTATATCTATATATATGTATGTATATATATATATATACATATACATATATAATATATATATATATATATATATATATACATACATCCATACATACACACACATATATATTATATATTATATATATACCCCTGGGGGCGAGGCCGGGGGCCCCAGGACAGGTGCCTCGACCCCCCATGGGGGGACCGGGGCTCATTTTCCCTATTTTTTGACAGGGTTTCCGCGTTCTGGGCCTCGGAGGCCGCCGCCTCCGACTCCCCATGGGAGGACGGGGCGGCCGGGGAGGTCCAAAATAGTTCAGGAGGGCCTCCAGAGGCTCCCAAGACGGCCCAAGCGGGCCCCGAGTCACTGAAAGCCCCCTCCAGGACGCCCAAGATAAGCCCAAGACGGCCCGCGAGGCCCCCCAAGGCACTCCACGACGCTATAAGACGCCTCTCCAGAGCGCTTCAAGAGGCCGAAATCGTCGATTTTACGCAGGTTTTCGAACGATGTTGTCCTTCCAGCCTTTCCGGCTGTCCGACGTTCCAAGACGGCTCCATAGGCCCCAAGAGCGCCCCAAGACGGCCCGAGAGGGCCCCAAGACGGCCCCAGAGTCGCCCAAGACAGCCCAACAGAGCCCCAAGACGGCCCCAAGATGCGCCCAAGAGGGGGACCACGACTCCAAAATTCGACCCTCCCGCTTGAAAAGTGCCCCAGGAGTCCCCAAGGAGCCCCTAAGAGGCCCCAGGAGGCCCCCAAGAGGCACCCAGGAGGCCCAAACGAGGCCTAAAGAGGCCGCACAACAGCCCCGAGGAGGCCCCACAACGGTCCCAAAACGGCTACCGAGAAGCTGCGAAACTGCCTTCACGACGTCCCCGACATGCCAACCACGAGATCCAAACCATCACCCATGAGGCCTCTGACCCACCACCCAGGCGCACGGTGGCGGGAGCAGTGACAGCACTTGTGCACAGCATGTTCTGGCGGGAGCCTTCCAGAACACGCTGCAGGAGGAGGGGGAGGAAGATCAGGAGGAGAGAGAGCTGGAGTGGGAGGAGGAGGAGGGGGACGAGGAGGAGGAAGAGGCCTCCCAGACAGCTCCAAGATAGCCGAAGAGGCTTCCAAGAGGGCCCTGGGCGGCCCACGAGGGCCCCAAGGCGGTGCCTGAGGCGCCCAAGACGGCCCGAGAGGGCCCCAAGACGGCCCCAAGAGAGGCCCAAGAAGGGAAACACGAACCGAGAATCCGAGCTTTCTACCCCGAGAGGCTCTCGGGAAGTCCCAAGAGGCCCCCAATCGGATCCAAGAGGCCCCGAAGAAGCTCCCAAGAGGGCCGACGAGGTTCCAAGAGATCTCCCAAGGTGGCCCCAAGAGGCACAACTCATTGTTTTTCGATTGGGCTTTGATGGGTTTTAATTGTTTCTGCCTTTTGGCATCCCGATGCTCCAAGACGGCCCAAGAGGCTTCCAGTACCGCTCCCATATAAAAGAAGAGGCCTCCAAGAGGGCCCCAAGACGGCCCGCGAGGGCCCCAAGACGGTGCTTGAGGCGCCCAAGACGGCCCGAGAGGGCCCCAAGAGCCCCAAGAGAGGCCCAAAAAGGGGAACGCGACCCAACGGCAGAGCGGTACCCCCACAAGGCCCACAGGAGGCTGCAAGAGGCCCCCAAAAGCTTCCCGAGTGCCTAAAAGATGCCCCTAGGAGACGTCCAAGAGGCTTGAAAATAGCCCCAGAGTGCCCTCGCTGCGTCAAAACTGCTTCCAGTAGGCCCCCGGGAGGCTTCCGGATTGCCTCAATCTGGCCGCAGGTGGCTTCAAGTCGGGCCTCCACGCAGCCAAGACAGCCAATGACGGCTTCAGATTGCAGAACCGATGCCCCCAAGGGACTCTCAGACGCCCCCCCAAGAAGCACCCAAGAGGTGCCTCCAACAGCCAGTTGACGAAGCATGCAGAACACCCCCGAAGCTCCTCAGATGCCGTCGCGCACCTGTGCTTGATAGCGTTGTCCAAGATCGTGCAGCGCCCCCCCAGGGGCCCAAAAACAGCTGCCCGCCCCTCCATGGGAGTACTGGGGCTCATTTCCGATGTGTTTTTGCGGGGTTTCGGCGTCCCGGGCCTCGGAGGCCGCCGCGATGGTCCCGGACATTTTCCAGATCCTCGGCGCGGGCTCCAAGACCATTCCGCAGAGGGCTCCAACAGGCTCCAGGGCAGCCCAAGAGGGCTCCAAGACGGCTCCAGGAACGACTGCAGGGTCTCATTTTCTTGTGTTTTCTGCAAGACGGCTCCAGGAAGACTGCATGTCTTATGAGGATGGCTTCCGCCTCTTGCCCCGAGCATCCCAAACTGCCTGAACGGTTCCCACTCGCCATCCCAAAACCCAGCGCTTGCCCAAGCGCGTTCTGGACGGTCGTCGCCGGAACGCGCTGGAATGATCAC